CTGAAGTCTTCAGTGGTTGGTATCAAAATCCGAGAGCAACGGTCAATCTCATCTGAAATCGATGTACCCACCTTGAAGACGACCCGAAAGGATCTTAGTGCCGCTCAAAAACAGGACAAGACCCTAGATTCTTGCAGGAATAAAGTAGGTCAAGGGCTACAGGGAGGATCAAAGTCCTATTCGTTCGAGATAGAAAAGGGGCTGCTATACTGCTATTATCACCTGCCATCTGGTAAGGTGATTCAACAAGTAGTAGTGCCCCAAAGATTGCGCAGCCAAGTGCTTACTTTGGCGCACGAAACCCTGATGTCGGGGCATCAAGGAATAAAAAGAACGATTGATCGTGTTCTACAATCATTTTACTGGCCAGGAGTTCAAGAGGCAGTGAGGAGATACGTGCGCTCTTGTGACGCATGCCAACGAACCTACCCCAAGAGCAGAGTTGGTAAGGCACCACTAGGTCGAATGCCTTTGATAGACACCCCATTCGAAAGAGTGGCAGTGGACATTATCGGGCCTTTAAAGCCAATATCACACATGGGTAATCGATATATACTAACACTAGTGGACTTCGCTACTAGATACCCAGATGCAATAGCCCTGCCATCCATCGATTCAGCCACAGTAGCCGAGGCACTGGTAGAGATGTTTTCTCGAATCGGGTTCCCGCGTGAGGTACTTTGTGATCAGGCATCATGCTTTACATCGAAGCTAATGAGAGAGGTCAATGACTTGTTGGCGATCAAGCATCTCAGCTCCACACCCTATCATCCCATGTGTAATGGCTTAGTGGAGAGATTTAATGGCACACTAAAGCAAATGTTGCGTAAATTGTGCCAAGAGGAGCCCAAGACATGGGACCGACTATTAGCCCCACTCCTGTTTGCGTACCGGGAAGTCCCGCAAGCCAGCTTGGGATTTTCGCCTTTTGAGCTGATCTACGGTAGAAATGTTCGAGGACCTCTCAGTCTACTTAAAGAATTATGGACCGGAGACAATCAAAGCGAGGAAGTGAAGACAACATATGGGTATGTCCTGGATCTCAGAGATCGCCTAGAAAAAACATTGCAGTTGGCACAAGAAAACCTGTCACGAGCTAAAACAACGCAGAAGAAATACTATGACCGGGGAAGTCGGATGCGTCGGCTAAAGGTTGGAGACCGCGCCCTCGTACTACTTCCCACGACGGAAAACAAGCTTATGATGCATTGGAAAGGACCTTTCAGGGTCACAGGAAAGAAGGGTGACTCTGACTACTGGCTGGATATGGGACATACTACCAAGCTGTTCCATATAAACATGTTAAAACGCTACGAAGAGCGTCCTCCAGAAATATCACCCCAGTCCGCATCTTTCATTGTAGTGGAAGAGGAAGAGACAGACACGCCAGTGCCTACCTTTAAAGCTACTGAGGGCTTTGGTACTGAAGCTATCAAGCTTGGTCCTAACCTCAGGAATAGACAAAGGGAAGAAATTGACGAGCTCCTAGCCACCCATAAAGACGTCTTTTCCGAAGTCCCCGGCAAGACAAACTTGTTAGAGTGTCGTCTTAAACTGACAACGTCCGAGCCTATCAACACTCCACAATATCCGTTACCATTCGCAATGAAAGAGGTAGTTGAGAAAGAAGTCGGAGAAATGCTGCGACTCGGAGTGATTGAAAGGTCCGACTCACCTTACAACTCACCATTGGTGCTGGTGAAGAAGCCCGATAAGAGTTACCGTACTTGCATCGACTTCCGTCGCATCAATGATGTGTTGGTCTCCGACGCAGAACCAATTCCGAGAACGGATGTATTGTTTACAGAGATCGGCACCAGAAAATTCTTCTCCAAGTTTGACCTTACGAAAGGATACTGGCAGGTGCCCTTGGACAAAGAATCCCGGCTAAAAACGGCATTCTCCACCCAATCGGGACACTACCATTTCCTCTATATGCCATTCGGTATCAAAACAGCGTCCGCAGTGTTTACCCGGCTAATGAGACGTCTCCTTCAGGGCATCCCGAACGTCGTTCATTATATCGATGATGTTCTCGTCGCTACGACAACCTGGGAGGAACACATGCAGACTCTGAGTGAACTGATGAATAGGATTCGAGAAGCAGGACTCAAAATTAAGCCCCAGAAATCGGAGATTGGAATGACGTCGATTGTGTTCCTGGGTCATCGACTGGGAGATGGAACAATTCAGCCGGTAGAGGACACGATCATAAAAATCGCCAAAGCCCCATTACCCACTACGAAGAAACAACTACGTTCGTTTCTTGGCTTGGCAGGATATTATCGTGATCTAATCCCTCACTACGCTGAGAAGGCACGGCCTCTGACAGAGATGACAAAGAAAAGGGAGAGTAACAAGATCAATTGGAATATTGAAGGGCAGACAGCTTTCGAAACACTAAAGCAAGCTCTGGCGTCTGGACCTATTTTAAAGGCTCCGGATCTCAAACGTGGATTTGTACTCCGCAGTGACGCCTCCGATTCTTGCATCGGTGCAGTCCTTATGCAAGAGCACGACGGTGTTTTATACCCGGTAAAATACGCCAGTCGTCAGCTACTGCCTCGAGAACAGAACTACTCAACAATCGAGCGGGAGTGTCTCGCGTTGGTGTGGGCAGTGGAAAAGTTCCACATATTTTTATATGGGACATATTTCACGGTTCAAACAGATCACCAACCGTTGCAGTACTTATCTCGAGCAAACCACCTCAACAGCAGAGTTCTGCGGTGGAGTTTAGTACTGCAAGAGTACAACTTTCACGTAGAACATATAAAGGGATCCGAGAATGTTGGAGCCGACTACATGAGTAGGTTGCAGTGAATATGTTCTGTGTGTTATTATTACAAGGTTATGCTTGTGTGGTGGACTGTTACTGGAGTTAATGACTGTATTTGTACTGTTCTTAGTTGCTGCCAAAAACTTTTCTTATTGTTGTTGGTTGAATGTTACGTTCTGTGGACTCGGTGTTTCGACGTGAGACATGTCAACGAAGAAGCAGTGTGGTGCCATCGGTGTGTTGTGATAGCTTGTGTGGTGCGCATCGAACGACAGTTTTTCAACGGGAAAAACTTCTTCGAAAGGGGGCCATTGTGATGCGATGGTGATGCGACTGGTGCGCGTAATTGTGAATGATTGAAAAGTGCGCGAAATTAAAGGATGACCGAGTGCACGTGCTGGGTCGCCTGAACAACGACGACGCCGAGGACCGGTACACGTGAGAGCGTGGAGCGCAAGCATCCAAGACCATAAAGCAAACAAGGGCCAATGGCTGATCACCACGGAGTTTTGAAAGGCCAATCGGGACGAGACAAGTGTGCCCCAGAGGAAGCCAATCCTGAAGGGCAAAAGAGCTAGTAGTTCGAGGTGAACGAGGCAAGAGGAAGGTCACAGCTGGGAGCTGAAGACAGGCAGTCGGGTGGCAGACCTGAGCCTTCTGGACTTCACCCGGTCTGGACCTCCGGACAACGCCTTCCAAGGACGGCGAGCTGCCTCAACGGTCGAGACCAAGGCCTGCAGATTCCGGTGCGGGTGCAGCAACGGCAGTTCGGGTCACGGGCCTGAGCCTTGCAACCAGCCACCTCATCGGGCGAATCTGGGCCGCCACAGGCATCACCGAGCGAGTCCCGTTCCATCGTCGCCGCCAGCGAGCATCGGTACACGCCGTCGCCACCATTACAGCAGCAACGTTTTGGTGAGATCAAACTTGCTCTCTTCCCTGCACCGACGAATCACCGCGTCAGAACTGCATCATGTAGCTGTGACTTTCCGTCGGCAGTTTCGGGACTTTAGATGTTTGTTTTCCTTCTAAATCCCGCTTTTAGCCAGCTACTCATTTCTTGTAGTTTGTGTTTGAGTTTTGCTTCAGTTCTGCAGTAAATGTTTAGGTGTTGTTTGTTAAGCAAACGGCTTTGTCCTTATTAGAAAAACTCTCCGGGGCTCAACCAGGAGAAACAAATCAGCAACAAGAACCCGCATCACAGTGCCCCTGCAATCTCCGACGACAGCGCAGCCCTGGCCAACTGGGCCCGCCCTACGCCTTCGCTTGACGCCGGCAAGAGCTCTCGCCTAGTGGTGCCCCGTCCTCGGGCTCCTGCGACCATGTCCATCTTTCCTATTTTCTCCTTACTTCACTCTCTCGCTGGCCCTGCGCCTCACACTCTCTTTCTTCTCTCTCTGTCTCTATACCTTTTAATCCAATCATTTTAATCCCTCCTTACCTTCACCCCTTGTGAGCTACTGTTGAGGTGTCCTCCCTGTTAGAGACAATTGCGGTGCTCACTTTTCTCTTTTCATTTAAAATCACTCCCCCCCCCATTTTGATATTATTTAATCCTTGCCGGTCCGTTTAAGCATCGCACAGAAAAAAAGGTGCTTTAAAAAAAACGCAGCAATGCAAGGAATGTGGTCATAAGGCGCCTGCATTCATTAACCCCGTTTTATCAGTCATTTTACAAATCAGATCGTTGAAAAACAAAAGAAAAAAGGTCATGATCGATATGAGACGAACGAGTGCTTGGAAACTGTTTATCGGTAATATCGCGCCGGGAATAAATAGGGAAATAAAGATATCTGTATTTTCACCAACGGCATCAGAATAAACTGGATTATATATAAAATTTTTAAGCTATCGAAACAAAGGTCACACGCACACTCAAAACAACAAGGCCAGAAGTCAGTGTTCACGGCCTTCTGCCCAGGGCCGGAAACCAGCGCTCCAGGGCGCTTTTCACTCAAATAAAAGGGGAAATAGAGGGAAAAAAGGAGGGAAAGTAGAATAAGGGCATGGGAGCCTGGGTCTCTGTGCCGTCGCTGTGGCAGAAATGGTCTCCCGGTTTTCCTTCTTTCTTGCCTTTTGCATTCGGTTCTCTCCACCACTCGTGGAGGGCGCTGGGGCAGCAGCGAGCGCGCTGCCGTCAACGCCGCCGGCGGCGGGCCATGAAGCGGCGGCGGCAAGTGGACTCGCGTTCGCGCTCGCCCGGGAGTCGCAGTCGAGCGCGCGCTGAGCCGGCCGCGCCGGTGCCGATCGTCACTCTCCTCCTTCCGCTCGAGGACTTCTTTCTGCTTTCATCGCTCGCTTTCGGACGCTAAGCAGGCTCCTCCTGTACGGGGACGTTACAGGGCCGCGGTTCGTACCAAGCGCGAGTCGGCCGTCCATCGGCAATTTTTTAAAGAACCGATCGTAAGTTCTATGACATGTTCTGACCATCTCGTCTATCTCGGGTTCCGTGCAGACGGGATTGACTGGTTAGGCGTGTGGACAGGGCTATCTCGGGTTCCGTGCAGACGGGATTGACTGGTTAGGCGTGTGGACCGGGCAAGTACTCGACCGAAAGGCTGGAACTTTTGGGTGGTACGCTTCAGGTGAAGTCTGCAGTTGCCTAGCGATTGTGTGTTTAGAAACCGGAATATATGAAGATATCCCTGTGACTTCTGTGCATAAGGACATCTCGTTGTATTATTAATCGTCCGGGGCACCATCTCATAAGGTCAGCTGTGAATCCTTACCATCTCACCAGTGATATGGTGAGCTCTCCGTGAACGCAACTCCTGTGCGGACATCGTTCTTGATGTGTTCGCCTGCTCGTCAACCCATCGTTTTATTTTAAATTAGGACTCACTGGATTTATTTTGCTGCTTCTTCTGCCATTTCTGTTTTTCTTTACCACTCAACCGTTGGTACGTTGGCTGTACCCGAATAGGTGCGACCACAGTGTGTGGACATAGCAGAACTTTTTTAACGTTTGGCTTTGGCCGTTGACGCGCGACCAGACACGGACAGTGGTGACATGTGCAGTGCCGGCTATAAATGTGTGTGGGTGTCCAGGCGGCCATGCCGTCAGTGCACTGCATTGTTTGGAGTAGTACTGCTGCTCGGATGTTGGTCTCAAGAGGTGGGCGCCCGGTACCAGGCAGTCACAGGTCAGTACAACCTTGTTAGCCAAGTAAATATCGTCATGGTGCTTGCATATTATCCCGCATTTTTTATTCAAAAATAAATACGTACTTGGCAGCTATAGGTTATGAGTGGGCAAATCTGTTCGTTTGCCGAAGTTTTTTTTTTTTGTACAGTTGTAGTTTGGCGAAAAACAGCGGTAATCAAAGCAATCAAAGCATTGGTCAAGCGGGAACAATAATCGCTTTCATACTTATTCCGGATCGGTGCTTTACTGTGGTAAATCGTTAGAAGCTAGCAAATAGGATAAACATTGAGCTCACAGCTGGGAAGATTTCCTGAAATGCGCAATACAATGCTAGTAAAATAACAAAATATAAAAAACTTTAATAAGTGTAACGGAGCACAAGAATTAATATATCAAAGAAATCGCGCGGTTGAACGTGGTTAAACCAAGTTTGTCGAGTGCTACCTCAATTTCGCCCACTTTTCAAAAGGACCGTACTCTAGATATTTAACGTTATGGCATATCTTAGTCGCTACATCCACTTTTGTAGAAGCAACTGCAGCATCCACAGTTCCAACAACGGACAACACGCAGGCGCTGCTCAAAGCCGTTGACGCTCTTGGCTCAAACGCGTATGAAAATTAGATGCCGTCCGTACCTCTTGAGGTGGTGGCACTAAATACTGGCCTTCAGACACTGTTCAGCGTATTTTGTTTAATTTTTTCGAATTGCGTTGTGACGATACGTGGCGTGTGCAAAAACAAGCACGGAAATTAACGCTCTGATATTATGGAGAAACCTCGGCGCGAACTCATCGCCGACGTTCATCGCCGAGAGCTTCGCGCCATCTCACGGGAAATCCGTAAACTATCATCAGCGGTCCTGACGCTGCTCGGATTCCCGGGCATGAGCTGGGTTGAGCTTGAAGGTGAAATTCATAGTCCATGGCGTCTCCTGGGTTTGCACCAGCATTACTGGAGCTATCTCTCCAAAATACGTTGGCTAGGAAGTTTATTTAAACAGGAAAAAAAATCGTGTCTAGTGAGTGAGAATTTATTAGAAACCAGAGAGGTCGGCCTGAGCTAGTTCGCTCTAGCCTGCTGAAACCACGTCTAAATTTCTCTCGTGTATTTGTTACCACGGAAGACTGCAATATTACGAAAATTTTTGATCTATTGAAGCGAATCATTGATATGAATGCCATGTGCGTTGTTTGTAACATCGCACCACAAATAATCCTGATTTTCTATTTGAAAATGGTTGAAATCGCTATGGTGATCTAGCAGTTGAAATACTAGTTTACTGACCCACAGGTCATGGGATCCAATTGCGGCCAAAGCAGCTGCATTTTGATTGAGGTGAAAATCAATGAAACCCGTGTACCCAGGTTTAGGTGTGCGTGTAGGAACCCTAAGGGGTCAGAATTTCCGGAGCCTTCCACCACGGCAACTCTCATAAACATATCGTAGTTTTTTGGGCGTTGAACACCAAGAATTCTTACTATCGAGCATTGAATACTTAGGCAAGTAGTGCTGCATGTTTCGAGCAGCGGATACGCTATTCAGTAGTATTATCAGTAAAAAAGTTTGGGGTGAGCACAATTTGTGTCATTTCTGGATCCTGAGTGTCCTGAATTATTTTTAAATACAAGGCTTTAACTTGCATTCTTGACAATTGAGTTGAGGCCATTTAAGCGTGAAGTACCACAGCTAAAATGTGCACCGTACCAGCTTCAACACCAGTCGTTCAAATACCCGTTCGGGATCTGTCCCATAAGGACAACTTTGGAAGAGCCAATCTGTCACACATACAAAACAGAAAGTTGTACTGTTGGCCCAGGTTCAAGTTCAGTAAGGAATTTCAAACATTGCTATACGTGAGAAGGGCGTTCGAGCTTTTATACGCCTTACATTTACGCCTTTGAAAAGTGGCTCGAAGTAAAAAAAGTAAGGAATGTAGAGGCAATGAAGTATCAGTACACAGTTTTCATTTGTCCATTATCATTAATATGAGATCTAGTTAACTATTTTGCATTGCTCTTTCCGTGTGTTTAACTAACATTTGCAGTGATTCATCATTCATTCGCATAACAAAGCATTTGAGGTAAGCCGATTGCGTGACTTTATATACGCTATTAATAAGTAATTTTATATTCAGGATTTTTTATATTGTTCCCTTATCACTGATCTTTCTTTACTATAAGTGATTACTTCTAGAGTGTCCAATTTTGACCACAAGTAAAGGTGTCGTCTAATACGAAAATCTTAAAACTCAGACAAACGTTACCTTCGTGTGTGTGATTTTCGTAAGCCTGAGCCGCTTTAAGTCGACAACTTCATACTCCATTGAGAAGTCTGACTGAAATTCGAACAAATCTAGTACAGTCATTCAGCATCGGCCAGACCAAACTAGCCTAATAAGGAAATTTTTCAGCTTTCATCCACTTTTTAGATCTCTAAAGGACCAATTTTATCGTTCTCGTGACACTTTCTCCGACTCAGCCGCGATTAGTTTTAGCGCCCCACAAAGACAAGAAAATGTAAGGCCAACGTTTGCATTCGCAACTGCAGTTTGTCTTTTTACTAGTCAGCACACATTAGCAGGTAACTTCGCTTCCTTTTTTTTTCAATTTAATTGAACGTGCATTTTCTTGGTTGAAGAAATCAATGTATATATTATTATATGTAAATATAATCAGGAACGCATTAGGAATGCTTTGAAACATTGATAGATCGTCGCAGGTGGAGCCAATTTTCGTGATGTGCCAGCTGAAGATTCCAATATGCTGGCAACGTTCAAACGCTACCGCTTAACGACGTAGTTTTCTGCTTAGTCGCGTAGCTAAATCTGTGGAATACCTCAGATTATCTGAGATACAAACCTGGGCTATATTACTACCAAGCAGTGAACCTCTGCAATTGTTTTTCTTTTTGTATTCTGGTCTTCGTTATTGGCTCCGCAAGTCAACTGACTGCGCGTTTGTGTGCATGAGAGCTTGTTAAGTCCTTAATTATCGTATTAGGTTAATGAAAAAAAAAGGAAAGAAAGAACTGGCTTTTTTAAGTACATATCATCTTTTCTTCACGTGTGGTTTGCCCTTGAGTGTGCTCGCAATGTCAGTAACCATTACATCCTCGAAGTTCTGTTCAAAAAAAAAAAAGGAAAATAGAGAACACTCAAGGGTTTCGTAAGCTAACAAATAGTTGGTGTACGCTAAATTGTTGCTTTCAAGTTATTTTTACTGTTTAGGCTTTAGCAGTGAATTACTCACTTCCTGGTCATTGCTGGTAATACTTTTGCAGTTCTGTCTTATTTCTGCGTTGGAACGGGTCCTCGGCTGCGTACGGCGAGCAAAAGTGGATAAACTTACCGCCGCGTAGCTTTTTTGACAAATTACTACGGTCTTTTTAGGATGAAGTTAACAATAAAAAATGCATAAGCTTCCTAAGACTCTGGGTGGAATTCGCATACAGGAAGGTAATGCATCGCTGAGGCGCATCAATTCATCATTATCATTCTTATATTTTCTGTGTGTACGTTCTTATTAATGGCGTGTCATCTAGCCATTCTGAATGTCTGTTAAGTTACTGTATAATGTGCAGTGGTACGCCTTCAGCTCTCTATAAGCAATGTGAGGGAGCTTGGTGATTGTTTCGTAAGGCATGGTGGTACACAAGATGAAATAAACGGCCAATAATACTGCCCGTCATGGGTGTTCTTGAAGTATCGCACTGTTTTCAGTGCTAAGAAAAAAGCAGGTAAATGCCGAATTCACTCGTCTACTGACTTCGCATTAGTAAAACATTCCGCCTCTATCTGCACAATGTCGTTAATTGAAATGACGTGTATAAAATTAAGAACCACCCTACGCAGTTTTTGAGAGAATGTCAAATAAGCCTATTTATAAAAGCAGTTTTTCCGAAAATGAGCTCAAGTTTGAGCACATCCCGGAGCCAGTGCAATAAATTGCAAATTAATAAGAGGAGGCATTTTGCATGAATACTATAGCTATCGCCTTAATCCAGTAGATGCACTAACCAGCGAAAAAGTCATCGTCGGAGGAAAAGCTTGTGGCTTAAAACTGAAGTATAAGAACCTAAAAACACTACAAGAGACAGAGGAAATGGTGACTGTTGTCTTAACGAGCCAACTTAATGAGGACGGAAGAACGCTCATGAACATTAGGCAGCTATTCGCCGTCCTTATCATGGCGTCGATGCTCTTCCTCATCATTGCGTGGCTCTTTTCTCTTCCATGCTCTTTCTTTCTATTACTTTCGCATTGTTCGTTCCCGAAGTCGGGCCTGAGCCGCGGCTTCGACTGCGGCGTAATTTCAAATTATGCAGCCCACGATTGGTTCCGACTCACTTTTATCACGCAGTGCCGCCCATGGCGTGCGCAGATGTCATTTACGGCTGCCGAATGGCAAATGATGCTTGTTTGCAAGGAGAAATAGAAAATCGCAATCGGCTCCCTTTCCTTTGTATAATTCGTTTTAGTTTTTCAGTAAATCATACGCTTAATTTGCCCGCTCGGGATACCTCAATGGTAAAGATAGGCGGGGCGTTTCTGGCGCGCGTATTAATAGACCCTTTTCGTGAAACACGCAGCGTAATACCCGCCATCCGAACATCTTTACGGAGTGGACGTTGTGAGAAGAAATAACAAGAGATGGAAGAAGCACGCGAGAGTTACATGAAATGAAAGGAGTGAATGAGGCATGAAAAAAAGAAAGGGTCAATAAGAAGGCATGCAGGAAGCGATCCTCCAAGCATGACTAAAACGTTAAAGGCGTCGACAGGATCCTGGCGGCATTAGCGACAGATGTCACGCGATCAACGGATGCTCGTTTTTAGATGAAGAAAAAAGGTAAACTGAAAGCAAAATAGACAAATAAGCTCGTCGTCAGAGGCGTCTTCGGATGGGCAGGAATCCCGCGGGTATTGCCAGAAACTCCGATAAGTGGTGTAAAACGTTCTCCGTAAATGCGGAAAAGAAACATTCATGATTAACGAAACT